GAAGAGCTGACTCATTGGAAAAGACCCTGATGCTGGGAAAGATTGAGGGCAGGAGGAGAAGGGGACGACAGTGGATGAGATGGTTGGATGGCATCACTGACTCAGTGGACATGGGTTTGGGTGGACTCTGGGAGTTGGTGGTGGACAGGGAGGTCTGGTATGCTGTGGTTCATGGGGTCACAGAGTTCAGACACGACTGAGTGACTGAACTGAACTGATACAGGTGGTATGGTATGTATAAGGGTCTCGACCCTATCTGCAAAAGGAAGCATTACTTGGAGAGCGGAAGGAAAGAAAGAAAAAAAATGAAGTTGTTCAGTTGTGTCTGACTCTTTGCAGCCCCGTGGACTGTAGTCTACCAGGCTTTCCCATCTATAGGATTCTCCAGGCAAGAATATTGGAGTGGGTTGCCATTTCCTTCTCCAGGGGATCTTCCCAACCCAGTGATCATACCCGGGTCTCCCATATTGGAGGCAGACGCTTTACCCTCCGAGCCACTAGGCAAGCCTCCCCAAATTTGTGCCTGTCTCCCTTCTAGGACTAATTCAGATATGTCTTAGATAGGTGGGATGTGTTTGTAGTTTTCAAACCTATCTAGATTCTCATGCACTATTAAGGATATGATAACCAGTGACCTTAACACTGAGATGCTCATATCCCTGAGGGGTACATGAAGAATTTTCAAAGTGTTAGCACATTTAGTTTTCTGAGGGTCAGTTAACAGGTCCTCGCTATATGTACGGAAAAAAGCACATCTTTGATCCATCACCGATCTTATTGAAGTGTATTCTACCCCAGGTGGTCTTCCCTGGTGGCTCACATGGTAAAGAATCTGCCTGCAGTGCAGGAGACCTGGGTTCGATACGTGGGTTGGGAAGATCCCCTGGAGAAGGGAATGGCAGTCCACTGCAGTATTCTTACCTGAAGAATCCCATGGACAGAGGAGCCGCAAAGAGTAGGACACAAGTGAATGATTAACACCCCAGGTATTAAGCCTTTGAGAGTCCAAACTTAGAGGTAGCTTCCTGTAGTGATTAAACTTACTGATTCACATTGATGATAGAATGAGATAATAGCCTAGAACTGGAGTGTTTTGGCTTTCTTTGGGAATTTCTGAATTAGATCAATGATGGTCTTGAGTGGTAGGAGTAATTGTGAATTTTTTTTAAGCCAGTGCCCCTCTTCTTCCCTAACCTTTTGTCAAAGAATACTTACAAAGCAAAAAACAATACTGTGAAATGTTTTGAAAACTAGAAATATGTAAATCAGACTGTAAAATATGTTGAATTTTAATTTATGAATTTTTTTGCTCCATTTTTTTTGAACACTTTGGAAGAGTATATCGAAGAATTAGGGTAAAAAAATAAGTACTAACCAGAAGTGCAATTCCTTTAAATCAGATGATAGAATATATAGATTTAAAAATTGGGTTTCCTTTTTTTTTAAACCTAAAATATCATGAAGGTGTGTCTAGAGGTAATTGCTATAGTAGGTGTGCTTATACATGTTAATTGTTTCATAACATCTTTAAAACCCTTAGAAGGTTACAGATAAGGGGCAGGATTGAACTTGGGCCCCAGAGCAGTGAAAGCAGCAAGTCGTAACCATTGGTTCTTCAGGGAATTCTGGAGAATATTTTCTTTTAAGTGATACTTAATTTACTGAAAAGATGTTTTTCTGTTATGTTTCTTTATAACTCATGATACCTTTTTCATGTATAGATGTATGTATATTTGAGTTCTACCATATACAATATTGTTTTCCAAGCCAACTTACCTAGTGATTTTTAACATGTATATATTTTAAATGTTTCTAAAATATAGGTATTCAAAGAGTATAGAACTATAAAAAAAAATCATGAATATCTCTTTCCTGACATGACCACTATTAGCGGTTGTATCACTCTATTTTCCATGTATACATACGTATGCATGTGTCCTGATTTTACAGAAGTGGAAAGATAGAATCACTGGTTTTTACCTTGACTTTTCACTTAATAGTCTAAAATTTTTTCCATATATGCATAAATATACCCATCTCATGCTTTTAGTGGGTGTATAGTTGATAATTTTATCATTTTCTTTCCCTCCTTATTACAGTATTTAGTATCCTTTTGGTCTCCTCCCTCATGACTGTTAACATTTCACTGAACACTGGCACAACCAGAACAGTATGCAAAATTGTGGTACATAATTCTGATGAGGTTTTAAATTCTCATGGGTAAGATGATATTAATACATTGAAAAATACACATTAAATGTCAGGAGAATTGAGAAAAAGATTATTTGGAGAAGGTTTTAATGGAGAAAGTGGCATTTGAGCCAAACAAATCCAAAAGAATTTGTAGGATTTGCACATGAAGAGATAAAATGACAGAGCTGTCCAGGGGATTGGAATAGTTCAACAAAAGGAAAGTTGGGGAAGAGAGTGATGGTTTATGCTTGGTTGGTGTGGAAAATAGCACAGAGCTTTTGGAGTCTTCATATTCTTGAATCCTCTGCCATTTTAATAGCTTTGTCTACTAGGGTAGAGAAGTTGAGCACAGTTTTCTTGTTTGTAATTAGGAATACAGTACCTACTTTGCTGGATTGTTGTGAGAATTAAATATAACATGCCTACTGTGATCACTGGGATAAAATCAAGTGCTCAGTAAATTCTGTTTTCTCTTTAAGGGATGGTGTCTGATAGAAATTAGTCTAGAGAGGTTTATGCTCATTTGGAAATAGTTCTTTGTTGTTTTTAATTTCATATACTCCTTGTCAAAACTGCAGTTGAGGAAATAGGTGATGTTAGGTTTAAACAACAGCTTGGATCATAAGTCAGTTAATCTTGTAGAGAGTAACCCCCGTTACAGGCTGCAGTTGATAAATGTTTTGTCTCAAGGTGTGTGGGAGGGTGTCCAAAACTTAACCTATCCCTCAGAGCCCAGCTTAAATACTTAACAAGGCTTTAAGTGCTTCACAAGGCTGTTGGTCATATTGTTATCTGGAATTGTTAACTTCCATATTATATGGAAGTTTTCAAACTCAAGTAGAATAGTATAGTATACCTTGGAGTACTAGATCATCCATGTGCAACGCTGTGTGAAATCTTTATACCTATATTTTACTTTTTAAAAGTATTTCAAAGCAAATCCCAGACAATAGCTAGTTTAAGCATAAATTCTCATGCTTATGAGAACTTAGTAAAAAATACAATCTTACTATTATTACTGCTAATAAAATTCCTTAATATCATCTAATACCCATTCTATATTTAGATTTCTCTGATTTTCTCAGAAGTCTTTTTTATAGTTGGTTTGTTAGAATCGGGATTCAAGCAAGGTTTATACAATATATTTGACTTCTAAGCCTGTAGTTTATATAATAGTCCTTCCTCTCCCCTCCTCCTAACAAAATTTCATAGATAGTGAAATGAGGTGAATTTTTTTCTTTTTTCCATATTCTGGATTGGGCAGTTGCATCCTTGTATTATCTATTGATTTTGCATGTTCTCTTCTCGTATTTCTAATAAATCAGTATTTAGATCTAGCAGCTTTCTTAGATTGATGTTTACTGATTTACTTTTTTAAAAAGTTTTCTTCATTGGTGCTGTTTCTTATTACATATATCATGAGGCATATACATGCTTGTTCCACTTTCAGAATGATGGCATATTATATATAAAAATGTTAACTTAGAAATACTGCTTTTTGAGGTGACTCATTTAATAATTTACATTGGACATTTCACATGTATTTTGGTCTGATTAGAACCATTTTGAGTTATCTAATATCTTCATTTTCCATCTAAGTTATTTGACCTACTGCTCTCAGGTGATATGTAAAAGCATCAAAAACTAGCATTGAGGTTGTTATAGTGTGTAGATTTTCTCTGAGCAGTATTGTCTTTCAAAAAGAAATTTCAATAATCAGTGTTTTATTTCTTAACCAACTGAGAGAATGCCTTGTAGTATAAGAGACTTTGTAAG